TATAACCGCCCCCGACTTTCCAAGTAACGCAGTTGTTGTACATAAACGGCGATGACAATCAATCATGGTGAAGATCGGCAACACTTGAAGCCTATCGCTGCTGTGCCAATTATTGCCACAGATCATAGCAGTCATAGCAGTGACGAGAAGCAGACTTGTGGTGCCTAGTAGTAGTCGAGAGCAGCAACGAGAGGCACATGATGATCTCGATTCCAAGGAATTGGTAAGCCAAAGACCCGAGGTGAGGGGTGTCCCTCACGGGACGGGTCATCGGCACGAGCCGGAGGTTGAAGTTACTCCCTGGGACTTAGAGTTGGTGCACCGGCTCCCTCCGAAAGGTGACCTGGCTGGTGTGGGCACTGCTTGAGGGCTGTGTAGGAATCATATTTATGCAGGGCGAAACCTAGTGGGACAAAGACCTGCTCCTGAGTATGTGTAGTTTCATATGTATTGTGACGGATCTGTTGTAACCTGGCGTCTGGTGCACGATAGCCCCACCAAGGCCAGTGCCTCCTGCGCATCGTCATCTATGGTGATGGCCTGACGGGTGAGGATGACCCCGTCTATGCACATCGATTTGCAGCTGAGCTCGACTGCGAGGGCTTGTCAACAGAAGTTGTAACTTGTGGCCTCGTGGGCATCACTGCACATCATCTAGCTGCCGGACGGGATGACAAAGCGCTGCGCGACATTCAGAAGCTTGTATGCTCTGAGGCCGTTTACTTTCTCCAGGACCATTTGCATCCCCATGCATGTCCTACCACAGTAGAGATCCTGATCCTGCAAGCTGTTTAAACAAGTCCTCAGGCCGTCCACTTGCAGCTGAACTTTTGCAGCAGCCCTCCGATGAACGGAAAACTGGACATGACAAAGTCATATATACCACATGAAACGTCCCAGGAAATGAACCTTGAATCCTCAAGCGTACATACCCTACAAAGCCGGCTGCGGAAGCCGAGGAAGCGCGCAGGGCCCGGCTTGGGGTCCCTTCTGCGACCGGCGACTCCGGCAGCAAAGAAGACTTGCTAAGTGGGGTTATAAATATGTAGATAGAGGTTATATGTACTTCTAACTTCTAACCGTTAACGTATGACTTTCCCGCCGCATCACGTGGGCTGCTGTGCTAGACGCAGATCCAGTTTATTAATTGGCTGGTAACGCAAGCTCTAGCCTAACCCCGAAGGGCCATGCAAGTCTGTGGTTCTGCAGAACAGCAAAGGAGAAGGGCTCCCCTTCTGTGGGCCTGGTCATCCTTACTGCAGGCATCAATGACATTCTCCGTTTTAACAGATGCTTGGTCTGACTTGCGGCGTAGGTTCACGATTGATTGTAGGCGACGTGCTAACGGATGCTAGGCAAGGCTTGCTTCCTCAGAGCTTTGTCAGGATGTTTGAGCCGTCCTCACAGTGCCAATGTTACGAGCTGCACATCTGTAGAACCGATGAGCAACTCCACCCCTGCCTTCAGGAGAGTACAATAAGAGGGAGCCCCACCAGATCGTGGAGGCGCTCCAGACCTTGCATCAACTGTGCAACAGTTTGGGTGTCCCAACTGTAGCTGTTGGGATGCCGGATGTCGGAGCGACATCCTCCAAGTTTATTGGCGGTGCCCGGAAGCAGGTCAACAGCTTGTTGGCAAAGTGGGTCGAGGAATCCCCACCTGGCAGCCCACGGCTTTTTGTCAATCCGGCAGCTTTGCTTCCCCACGGGCCACGTGCCAAACGCCACTTGGGAGCTGTCTTGCCTGACGGGATGTTTCCTAAAGGAACTCATAATTCATAAACTCAACTACAGGAATGAAGCTACGTTCAGAGAGGGCTCAAGGGAACTAAGGCCATGGCCTTTGGCGAGATGAGCTCCATGTGTCTACAAAAGGCAGCGAGCTCCTGGGACTCCGCTTGGCACAACAAGTCATGCCTCTGGTGAAGGAGCTACACTCCCACTCGATTCTGGATGCCGCAGATCCAAGCTCGCTGCCCTTAAGCGTATACATGGAGGCGGTGGAAGTCCATGAGCGGAGCCACTTGATGGAGAACGCAGCCCCTCAGCTCAGATGTTGGATAGCCAGCAAAGTGCAAGTACACAAACAAACATCAATTTCCAAGAGTTTCGCGATGTGACAACTCAGATTGCCCAAGAGCCAGGCGAAGGGTTGTCGGGTGTACCGACGAGGTATGACGAGGTTTGAGGGAATCAATACAGACAACCCGACTTGCAAAGTTGAACAGCGGTGGAAGCACCTCGTCAGTACTTTCGTCCCAATCTCCGTTACCTCAGGCTTCCAACTTCATGCCAGTCCTGCGGAAATGGCAGGACTGCGGACCAGCAGAAGTGTGAGGTTGAAGAACTCGAGACCTCCGTTTCAGATGTTTTCAGGTTCGAGGGTTTCCTCCGAGAGAACCGGGCCTTCTACACTTCTCAGTTCGGAGGAGCCTGCTGCCACCCTGCTTCAGCGATCATGGCGGCGAAGCCGAATGCGTCACTCGAAAGAGGGAGCAACTTTTTGGGCTTTGCAAGGTGGCATTGGCGTCAGCCTCGAGTGTGGTTTTGTTCACCTGAGGGTCCAGAGTTGAGGGTTCTGCTCCTAAGCACGCTCGGACACACTAGCCGTGCTCCCAAAAGCCATGCAATGCGAGGTGCTCCTCCAGATGCCCTGGATTCCAAGACTTGGCTGGAAACTCTCCATCTCTACTTGGGCCGATGCCTGCATTGGTGCTGCTAAATGAGCAACTTTAACGCGGTCGATGTCTTAACCTGGTACAACACCGGGCAGCAACCTTGGAAGTAGACTGGGCCAGAAGACCTGCTCGTAGCTGTTTGAATTGATTGCTTTGCCGTTCCATTTGGGAGACCTGGTTGGAAATCATGCACTGCACGATGACCTTTGAATGACGGTGCTATGGTACTTGACCAGGATCGTCCGGTTGCGCCCCCGGAAAAAGCATCAGACGCTCTGCTCATGAGTGCGTAGTGCTTGCAGGCTCTGTGGCGCTCTGTGGGTTCAGGAAGCGTTTTTCGGAGCCTTTCCCAAGGGACAGGCGGCATCTTTGACTAGTGACATATAGTATGAATTTCATGGCGGCATGCGAAGTAAATGTTTCCGAATCTGGCCGTCTGTTCCTCTTAGCCTATCAGGGGGGTCAGTGTCTTGAAGCGCAATCTTGGCAAATGCACAACACTAGACTAGTCCGTGATGCTACGAACATCGAAGTTGGCTTTTTATTTCCAATGTCCCGAAGCGCCCTAAACCCCAAACCCCTAAACCCTAAGCCTTAAACCCTAAATCCCTAAACCTTAAATCCTAAACACTAAACCCTAAACCCTTAAACCCTTAAACCCTAACCCTACGGAGCTCTTCAAGATGCTTGGCTTGGAGTCACGAGCCCCAAAGCCTGAGAAGCGCAGGAGACACGCGGCAGGTGGTCGAAGGCTCCCATAGCTGCAGGGCTCATAGAGATTCATAGAGTGGAGGGCGACGGGTTCCGTCTCACATTGCCCTTGAAAACCCCGAAGTAGCCATCCTCATGAGCTTCTGCGTCTTTGTCTCCTTGAGTTTCCCATCGGAAGGCCTTGGGTTCCGGGTGAAGGGTCTCTTCCGACCGGCAAAGTGACTGAAAGCCTGTCAGAAATTCGGATCCCAAGTCGCGATCACGGCCATCAGCTTGTCATTTTGGAACCTCAGCCTTTTTTATTCTCTATAACCCTATACTGCAGTGTACTATACTGCTTTTTGGAGTAAGGTTCGGTTGTGTAACTTTGTCGTCAAGAAGAAGCTCGGAGGTGTTGGAGGGTTGGGTTCGGGGAGGTGCGTCATCTATTCGGATGCTACTCGCGGTAGCGGCGACCTCGGGCCTTAAGATCTTTACTTTCGTTTTTTGTATCTGTCACATGGCTTCCCGGCATGTATTCTAGTTCCTGGTACACCATAGCCAGCACTATGCTTGAGACCGGTATCTTGTGTGGACGTATGTGACAACATGCGGCCTTCACCAAGCAGGGTCTTGCGCCTCTGAAGCTGGCACAGCCAACAGCAATCCTTCCGTCTTTGTCACAAAGACTCGCAAAGTAACTCCTCAGTCTTTAACCTCTAAACCGACCTGCAGTGACCACACAGCATTACTACCAGTAGTAGTGTTCACTACTGCTTCATAACAGTCTACACACTTCTGATTTGCTGAGGAGTTTAAAATGCCATTGAGCTGACGCGCATCACAGTGACTACTGGCTTCAGGGTCTGGCGTAAATCCCGAAGACTCTGAACCAGCGGGCTTCTGGGTTTTAAGGTGGATTGGGACAGGGGGGTTTAAGGTTTTACGGTTCTTGTGTCGGGGCTTGGTTGTGAAGTTTAGGTTTCAGAGCTTCGGGCTTAGGCTTCAGGCTGAGGGGCTCTGGAGTGTGGACTTCAGGGGCTAATAAGTAGTACTCTAAGACCCCTACAGGATCTAGCCTTCCAGGGTTACGAGTGGTTTGCTTCCCTTGGCTTGTACTGGAGCTGGATCGAATTCTAGTTGTCATGAACCTTGATGTTCACAGTGAAGTTTGGGGTTGGGGCACAGGAGTTTTACTTTCCGCATTTGTGACCGAAAGCGTGGGGTTTGTGGTGCGACAGCGGGAATTAGCTCGCGGAAAATATTCCCAGGATTTTCAAGTTTTGCAACGTTGAACACAAGCGAATGTTTGTGTACCATTCTCAAACGGGGCCAACGACGCTCGACGCGTAGTCGCCTCTGTGCGGATGACTTGAGTCGCAATGTGGAGCTGACAGTCCACGCGTAAGATTATCAGACGTGCACTGGCTGATCCCAGAGGGACATTGCCCACTGCAACAGCAGTAGCACATCCATGTTCGATATGATTCTCCGATGCCCTTCGCTGCTTCTGAAACGACGAGTGCCGTGCAACTACTACGAAGCGGATAGCACTTGGAGGCAAGCTGCTCCAAGCATTGTCGCGGCCAATTCAGAATCAGCATGAGCTTTGCTGTTTGCTGAGTCAGGGGCAAAAGACAGCATGCCAGAGGCATGCTCCATTTCCGCATGGCGTGTATATTTTCAAGCCCACCGTGAAAAATGCTGCCCGCTGCGCAGCAGGTTTGAAATCATGAAGCCGCATCATGGTGTATGCGAGAAGGTGCCCAGGCAGATGGTGCCAAGTCTCCAAGTCTATGTTGTTCCTTCTCCAACACTGCTTGCAAAAGCTATGCCTGTACTCTACCTTCGCAAATTGAATCCGGCACGCTTCCCCTTTACTGCGCTGAGGTGCTGCAGAAGTGTGCGATTGAGAGTGCAATGCCGGATTCATCACGACTGTCTTTTCGGCTTTAAGGCCTTGAGTCATAGATGCGTGCGCAGTGAAAACATGTTCTGCCGCTGAGCTTCTCGATCAGTTGGTAGCGCGGCGCCGGTTGATCTGGCTATGGCTGCGCCTGAGAACCCTCCAGACCCTTGGGTCAACGACGATCCCTGGTCATCTTATGTGAGACATGTTCAAGGGCGCAGCCGGACCTTTCGCCCTAGTGGCGATGTTGCGGATCGCGATGGTGTTCGAGGACGTGGTTCTGATGACAACCTTTCAGGCGGCCTTCCCGGGCCTTCGCTGAATCCCCAAGGGATGCCAGCCCGGGTGGCGGCCTCCACGACTGGTTGGTTGCCAGACATGGCTTCTCAAGGAAGCCAGCAGCCTGGTGTGGATTCGCCTTCTTGGGAGGCGATGCAGTTTGGCAAGGGAGTGACAGGAAGACCCTGTCTGGCTACGGCACCCAACAACTTGCCGAGCGGACCAGTGGGCCAGGCGAATCAACCTCCTGGGAGCTGGACACCTTGGTGGCCTCCGACTATGCCGGCGGCTACGAGTTCAGGGCAGTTCCCGTTTCTAGGACCTGGCAGCTATCCAGCTTGTGGATCTACTTCGTCGGCACCCACGTCGACCTTCGCGCCGCGGAGCCCACCAACGATGGCACCTACCTTCGCGTCGCCTCCAAATCCGGCGTTCGCGTCTTCTACGCCTATTCCCACGGCAGCGGCTGCTTCTTCGTGTTTGGATGGTCATGGACTTGGGGTGATGCCTCCCTCAAGTCCCACGAAGGTGCAGTCGGCCTTCGAGATGTTGGGAATAAGAGCGCCTGGAAATGTGGCCAAGCCAGTTGACCAAGGAGAGAGATTCATTCAGGCGATCACGGGCGAGAAGCGAAACATCCCGACGTGGTCGGGGCAGCCAGCATCGTTGCGGAGCTGGTTGAAGCTGCTGGCAGTTTGGGAAAGCGAAACAACGCTGCCAAAAGACAAGTGGGGGCTGAAATTGTTTCAAAGTTTCGCTGAGAACTCCCAGCCACGGAAGATTGCGGACCAGATTCCTATGCATGAGTTGTTGAGCGAGCATGGATATGGGCTTATACTTACTCAGTTGCTCGCCAAGTACAAGCCCTTCCTGGACATTGCAGCACCAGCGGCCATCGATCGTTTCCTGTACTCCGGTGACCGCCAGAAAAATGAATCCTTCGCAGCGTTCCTGGCTGCGAAGGAAGTGGCACGGCAAGACATGGAGTTGCACTTGCAGGAGCGTATCTCCGAGAAGGTCGCAGGTAGGGTGTTGCTCAGACAAGCGAATCTCTCTGATTTTCAGAGAGAGCTGTTAGCCTTAAAGGACCAGTCCCAGTTGCTCACCTTTGACCAAGTGGCCGCACTTCTACGGCCCCTTGATCGTCCAGAGCTGCTCGCACAGGCAGCGGGCGCGGAACTTGGTGCTGGGGCTAAACACTTCCCGGTAATCACTGATGGCAACCTGGAAGATGACGATGAAGCTGATGAACTTCTTTTGCAAGAAGAAGAAGAGGAGGAATCAGACAGCATTCAGGATGACGAGCTGCTCTTTGAAGACCGAGAGTACAACGAGGACGAGGCTTTGTTTATCAGTGCGTATCACAGTGCCTATGCGGATATTCGTAAAGATTTGAAAGATCGCAAAAAGGAGCGAGGTTTCGTTCGACACCGTTCCAACACCCCGTTTCGTGGTCGAGGCAGAGGGCGCAGAACCGATCGTGGGCCACCTCGAGATCCTCGCCGTCACGATCGAACGCCCCGACGCTCTTCACACAACAAGGTTGACCCCAAGATGGTGAAGGGTAGCAGTGCCGATTTGCAGGCTCGGGTTAGATGCTTTAACTGCAATGAGCTCGGCCACTATGCGAAGGAATGTCCGCTGAAGGGGGCCGGAAAGGGGTCACAAACCCCCGGCCCAAAGAGATCGTTTGTGGTGTGCCACGGGTCCCCGTCGCAGACTCAGGTCATGGCAGTCTTTCATCAGCCTAGTCCGCCCCGACTAGATCATCTGCAGATCTTTGCAGGTGTCAGAGTGTCCGGATGCCAGGCCCTTGTCGACACTGCTGCTGAGGACGCAGTCATCGGCAGCCTGGCCTCGAAGTCGTTGCAGCGCGAGCTGGCGCTGTGGGGTTTGCAGCCGCTGCCAGTCACTCAAGATCAGCCAATTCCATGTGCAGGGATTGGCGGTTCTGCTCAGGTTTGTGCCATCCTGGACATACCCACGTGTGTGGCTGGTATCCTGGGGGTGATCAGGTTCTCGGTGGTGGAAGATTCGCCGAACTTCCAAACCCCTCCTCTTCTGCCGATCTCTTACCTCGAAGCGATTAAGGCTGTGTTGGACCTTGGCAATGACCGCCTGTACACCCCAGACGGTCATGAATCCCCCATGCTACGGCTTCCCTCAGGACATCGGGCCATCAATATCTTGGACTTTGACCAGACCGCATGGGAGCTACCGCCGAGTTTTCGTGGCCCCGACGGTGCCGACCCTTTTCGTAAGTCTACATCCTCGGCCACTTCTTCTTGGGGGGGTGTGTCTGCTTCGATGGAGGTGCCCTCGGATGTGTTTTCAGCTTCGATGTTGGCTTCTCCGGAGCCGTTATCATCATCTACAGTGGATCTGCCGTCATCTACATTGGCTTCGACTGTGTCTGCTTCGATGGAGGTGCCCTCGGATGTGTTTTCAGCTTCGATGTTGGCTTCTCCGGAGCCGTTATCATCATCTACAGTGGATCTGCCGTCATCTACATTGGCTTCGACTACACGATCGTCTTCGGCATCTACAGTGGATCTGGCGTCATCTACGTTGGCTTCGACTACACGATCGTCTTCGGCACCTACAGTAGACGTAGAAAGCTTGTCGTCCAAGTATTTGCAAGCCCAGGACTTCTCGTATGAAGCCATGGAAGATGTGGTGAGTCACCTACCGCGTCGCAAGGTCAACTATCGTACAGGAACAATGGCCGAAAAATCGGCAAAGTCGGCCAGCTGGGCTTTCGGACTCTATGTCAGGGGTCCGTTCTCGGGTGTTACCAAAGTCAGTCATCAGCTGGAGAAGACCACCGAGTACGGCAATGCTTGGCTGAGGGACAAGTTTCCTCAGGCTACCTGGACCTCGTGGAATGTAAACCTCAACATGGTGGCGAGACCGCATATAGACAGCCAGAACGCCAAAGCTACGCTCAACCACACTGTATCGATGGGCAGCTTCCAACAGGGAGAGCTGTGGTTGGAAGCCGACGATCCACCCGAGGGAGATGTTCGCTGGAAGTGGAAAAAGGGGAAGAGAGTGTGTGGAACGTTGGTCAATACCTTCCGGAGTCCCACGTCATTCAGTCCTCATCGTTATCACGGCACAGCTGCATGGTCCGGTTATCGAATCTCCATAACGGCATTTACCACAAGGAACGTGAACAACATCAACCAAGAATGTCAAAGTCAGCTAATGGTTTTTGGGTTTCCGTTACCACGTGCCGCACAAAGCTTCGTGATGCACAGTCATGAGTCTGACTCGGAATCTGACATGCTTTCGGCGATGCAGTGTGAACAGCATTACGCGTGTGACTTGGAACCGGCAGGACCAGTGCAAGTCAATGCCGGAGGTGAAGTGTTCAAGCGGATGATTCGCAAGCTGCGAGTTTGGTTAGCACGTTGGCGCCCCGTCTCCCCTGGAATCTCTGAGAATCATGTCGTCGCTGCGACGCCAGGTGGAGCAGATGGCTGCGGAGGAAGCCGCGGGGGTGGAGCCTCTACGACCTCGAGCCATGGGGACAGCCAAGTGCGAGTCAGCGTGGCGCCGGCTGGTGAAGGCATTGATGCTGATGCTGGTCACGGCGCGACAGCAAATGGTACTGGACTACCTCAACAAGCGTTCATTGGAGAACGAGCCGGAGGTCAGCCGCGTCGACCCGAACGATGCCAAGAAGAAGGACTCCAAGAAGGGCAAGACATTCGACAAGTCGGTGTACATCTACCAGGCGATCGGGCGCCCACTGCCCACCAGTCATGCCCACAAGGAGTTTCCGTGCTCAAAGAGGGAGTGTCAGCATCCAGCCGACGCTCTTCGGTGCAGAGCGAATGTGCAAAGCCATTGGTGGACGTGCGTGAGGTGCGGTTTGCGCTGGGACCGCCCGAAGGAGACGGAGGAGAACACGCTCCCCGAGCTGAGCGTGAAGCCCGCCTACGACACGATCAACGGCCACCCCAAGAAACTGATCAACTCCAAGGGCCAGGAATTTCCTCAGGTTCTGCCACCTCCCAAGGCGCGTCCCCAACAAGGAGAAAGGGAAGTGGTGATGGATCACAACGGCAGGGTGAAGGTGAGAGCCTATCGCCCCCTGGAGACCTCAACTACTCCGGCATCGACCATGGGATGTCCGACACCAACGCCGTCACCCACTTCGACGATGCCGCTTGGGAGAAAGGAGACAAGGCCAACGGTTCCTGGCTCAGCTTCTTCGAGCATGGAGAGGAGAGGGTCGTCTCCGACGCGTGCATTGACTGGCACGGTGCCGAGCCGGGCAGCTATGAAAAGCAAAGCGGCGCCGACGGCGGGATATCCAACCTTCGGGGACAACCAGACCGAGCCACAGGAGTACATCCTCTCGGACGACGAGTGGTCGGATACGGCGATGGACAACCCCAACGATGTGGAGGAGAAGCGTCCGTGATGATCTACGGCAAGGACCTCGAGAATGCCAAAGGCGACTTGTGGGGAGGACTACGAGACCACCTTGGCCATGGCGGGTGGCTCTGGAAAACCGCACTGCTCCTCTTGACAATGACACAGTTTTCTTCGGAGCAGGCTTGGCCGTCGATAACGGGGCCCCCTCAACATCGGGTGAGTTGGAATCCAAAAGATAGAGTTTGGAGTGATATCGACCTCTACGACAACGCCGTCGCCAGCCCAGGTCGATGGTGCTATGTGTTCACGCGCCATGATCGATATGGCGGTTGGCTGGCAGATGACCTGGGCGTATTCGAGCCCTTAAAGAAAGATCAGCGCAACTATCTGTCGAAGAACATTGCGGAGAACCTCGGCTCGGTGGCGGAGATCTACTCGCCCCCTCGCATGATCAAAAGGGCCCGACAGCACGGGTTTCAGCCGGGCTTTGCATTGGATTTGGTCACCGGTTGGGACTTCAATGTACAACAACACCAGCGTGAAGCTTTGAGAATGTTGGCTGAACATAAGCCAAGCTTGATTGTGCTGAGCCCACCGTGCACCGTCTTTTCCAAGCTGCGGGCGCTCACCAATCACAAGCGTGAGGCAAGCAAGGTGCAACAGGAACTACGTGAAGGACATCGTCACGTCAAGTTTGCTGTGCAGTTGGCGTTTATACAACATGATGCTTGCAGAGGATTTGTGTTTGAGCACCCCATGCATGCTAGCAGCTGGAAACTTCCTGAACTACAACAGCTAGCCAGCAAGCCGGGTGTCCACAAGGTGCAGCTTGACATGTGCAGGTTTGATTTGAGGCGCTCCACAACTGGAGAACCTGTGCTGAAGCCCACAGCGCTTTTGACTAATGTGCCCGCCTTGGCTAAGTCATTGGCAAGACGCTGTGAAGGTCGACATGTTCGGCACCCACCGCTGCTCAACGGCACGGCTCGAGAGGCGGCGGTGTACACTGTTCCTTTCGTGGACGCTATTTTGCGTGGCATGCGTAAGCATCTGACTCAGGTGCACTTTCCGGTCTTCCACAAGGAAGACGCATGGTGCTGGCGGCATGGTGATCTATGCTGTCGACATTTTCGGCCTCGCCAAACCTTGGCGACGCCCTCGGAATGTTCGTTTGATTTGTCCGGGCTGTCCTTCACAGGCAAGCGCTGCACAGTGCTCATGTTCGTTACCGGTCGGGAGCAGTATCTCGAAGATGACTTCAACAGTTCCCCGACCTCCTGGAAGGACGAGACGCCATGGACCGGTTTCACCTATTTTCAAGTCGTGCAATCCGTGATGCTTCCTCAAGCTCTACAAGATTGGGCCTCCCACGTGGCCAAGGCATCCTCACATTGCCTGCACTCATACGTGCAAGATGAAGCAGCATTTCAGTCGGAGTGGAATTTCCTCTTTCCGACCCGCAAAATGTTGGGGAGCAGGCGCTCTTCGACTTCAGCGGGCGAAGTTCAAGATGAAACCACACGTGCTTTCGACCTTGACGCGGCCGAGACCGTCCACGAGTTCGGCTCCGAAAGCGCAAACCCCACTCGAACTGAACGTATGGCTGCACAACGGGGAGAAGATGAGGATGACGAGGCCAAGGTGATGAGGGAATTGCGAGACATCCCGATCGACCCGGAAGTTGCTGATGTGGATGGCTATGGCTATCGCGAAGGTGCTCCCCACCTAGCACCGGACTTACGAAGAGAGCTTTACAGAGTGCACCGCAACCTTGGACATCCAGATCAGCCTACTTTCCTTCGAGCACTACGACATGCTGGCGCAAAACCGGAAGTGCTGGAATTTGCCAAAAGGGGTTTCAAGTGCCCCATCTGCGAACGGCGGCAGCGACCGTCGACCCAGCGCCCTGCACACTTACAACACAGAATGCCGTTTAATGAAGTCGTGGGCGTGGACCTCATCTTTGTACGTCGACGGCCTCTACTCAATTGCCTCTGCTGGGGCACTTCGCTACAGTGGGTGGAGACCTTGTCGAACAAGACCGCGGGAGAAGTTTGCCGCGCCTTCATGGCATCCTGGGTGGCTCGCTATGGCGCGCCTCGACTGGTAGTTGCCGATCGCGGGACCGAGTTCACGGGGTCCCCCTTTCCGGAAGTGTTGGGCGAAAATGGGATTATTCTCCATCTAATCAGCGCCAGGGCTCCTTGGGAGAATGCCAGAACCGAGAGGGCTGGCGGCTGGTTCAAGAACAAACTGGAGACCGTCGTGGACGAGACTTCGGCGATAAATGAGGGCGACTTCCAGATCGCCATCGCCGAAACCGTGGCAGCACACAATCAACACTACGATCGCTCGGGGTTTTCCCCAAACCAGAGGGTGTATGGCACGTCGTTGAGATTGCCATCATCACTGGCTAGTGATGATTACATTGATGCTGAACTGCGTGGACAACCTCCTCGCACGGACTTCATGAAACGGGCTATGGAGATCCGGGAAGCGGCTCAACGAGCGTGGCTCAGGCATCAAGACAACCAGGCCATCCGAAAGGCCCTTAACTCCAACACCCGCACCTCCGATGACAAGAAATTCGAGTCCGGTGACATGGTTTATGTCTTCCGGGACACGTCGGAGTACAAGGGGTGGGTTGGCCCTGGAGTGGTCATTGCCCAGGCCAAGAACGAGAGATCGTTGTGGATAAGTTTGCGTGGATTTCTCGTGAAAGCAGCCAAGGAGCAGGTAAGGAAAGCCACGGCAGAGGAGAGCTTAGGCGTGGAGCTCGTCAAGGTCCTGTCTCAGGAGATGCTGGAGAATGTGGAGTCCGGGAAGATCCGGAACTATCAGGACCTGCAGCATGAGTTCGATGCCGAAGCGATGGAGAAGTTTGTCAACGAGAATCAATCGGCTGGTCTGGCTCGCGAGTCCAGACCTCTTGGGCAGTCTGTTCCTGAACAGTCGCTTATGTCTTCGGAGCCGCCGACAACCCGCGAGAATGATCTTGATGACGAGGTCATGATGGTTCCGGACGTTGAGATGCCGTCGGCGAATGAAGGCCAACCCGACGGAGAAGCTACCGACGGAAACAGCACGCGACTTCCCTCGGCAGCTCCGGAAACTACCTCGATGCCTTCGTTACCTCCTTCGGCTCCAATGTCTACGACAGTGACTCCTCGGCAGACTTCGCCCATTCGTGTGGACGAAGGATCAGGAGGCTGGACACCTTTTGGTCCAGCAAGATCCAATCCAGAGAGAGCGGCGCCGTATCCTTGGCCGGCCTCTGGAAGACAGAGCAACTTCCTGGAGGTGACCCATGATGGTCAGGACGAGAACCTGGGCGCAAAGTGGTGGCGCAACAAGGCATACAACCGTTGGGAGCCAGTGTCCTGCGGAAAAGAAACTTTCCAAGCCACTCAGGCAACAGCCTTCTTCAACCTCCGGGACAAACGGTTCTACCTGACCAAACAAAAGCTGTCTCCAGGTCAGGTGGAGTTCCGGAATTTGGATGAGGGGGAGAAAGCTGTGTTCCGCAAGGCCCGTGCCAAGGAGGTGCAATCTTTGATTGACATGGGTGCCATCCGGATACTGTCTCTGGAAGAATCGAGGTGTTTTGAGCAGGAGAATCCACGACACGTTCTGAACTCGAAGTACGTGGATCGCTATAAACCCAAGGAAGAGTTCAAGGTGATCCCGGAGGACTTCGATGCTAACCGGGACGTGGCGACCGTTACGGCCGAGTATGCCCCGAAATCCCGGTGGACAGTTGTGGGCTGGCAGGACCCACACATTCATGAGATTGAGCGGTCAGCTCCAACGCCATTGACCACGTCCTTGTACCTCTTCTTTCAATTGTCAGCAAGTCGGCGATGGCATGCCTTCGCCCGTGACGCTAAGACAGCTTTTCTGCAGTCGCGGCCAACTTCGCGCAAAAGGAAATTGGCATGCCGGATGCCATCGGACGAGGCATTCGAAGGCTACGACGCCCGCCAGCTCATTTTGTTGGAAACTGAAGTATACGGCCTAGTATCCGGGCCGGCGTGGTGGCGTCGCAGTCTATTGGAGATATTGGTGAAGGAACTTGGATACCGGGTCAACGTTTACGACCGGTGCGTTCTCACCTTGGACAACGACGTGGACAACTCCAACGAGCACCCCGAAAGAACGCAGGGGGTGATCATCATCGAAGTGGATGACTTGATGGAATCTGGTGGGGAACGTCATCGGCAAAAGATGGTACAGCTTGAACAGCGCCTCAAGTTTGGCAAGGCAGTAAAGTTAGCGGACCACCCGGAAGGAGCTGCTTACGCCGGACGGCGCATTACTCAAGACGCCAAGACATTCTCCTTCCGATACACGATGACGGACTACATCCAGAACCGCCTCAAGAAGGTTGTCTTCGAGAGAAAGGTCTATAAAAAGGATGCTAACACGGTGACGCTGAATGCTTCTGAAGAAAGCCAACTTCGGGGAGTGTTGGCGGCTATCAATTGGGTGGCCAGAGAGGGACGTCCTGACGTTTCGGCAGCGGCGTCGATGCTGGCTGGCCGATTCCCCGGTCCAACAGCCGATGTGGCTTTTGAAGCAAACTCCGTGGTGGACCACTTGAAGGCCCACCATGTCGCCGTGCACATTCACAGCATCCCCGAGCCGAACATCCGCCACATACTCATCAGCGACTCCAGCGGGGACTCCAAGGGCCAAACAAAGCCACAACACGGATGGATCCAAGGGGTTACCACTCCCCAGCTTAATCGAGGAGAAGAAGCTCCAGTGAGCATCATTGGCTGGTGCTCGCGACGTCTTCGACGAAAAGCGGGATCCTCCTTACTTTGTGAGTCCATCGCCACCTCGACAGCAATGGCGGCGTTGGAGAAGCAGGTGGCAATGTGGCAGAGCATGACTACCTCGAGATTCGACCCTCGCAGTCTTGACGTCGACATCGAGGTGAGCATGGGTCTTCGAGGATCTGCCACGGTGATCGCCTCGGAAGGAAGATTGTTTGCCGATCCACTGAGTGTTGTGCTGGTAGATGCAAAATCTTTGTTTGACTCCGCGAGCTCGGAGCAAGCCAAGGGCGAAGACGACCGTTCGGCTTTAGAAGTAGCTATAATCCAGGAGTCTCTTGCAAAGGTCTCAGGTCGCATGCGTTGGATCCCTCACAACTTCAACCCTGCCGATGCTTTGACTAAGATAGAGCATGCTCACGTTGAACCTCTCATGAGACTCTTGAAAAGCGGCAAACTCCAGATTGAGCAAGAAGCAGATGTGTTGGCATCCGGCAAACAAGGAGCCAAACGGCTCAAAACGCCGGCCAAGGCCTAAACCCGAACAAAGTTTGGGAGGCTGTGCGATTGAGAGTGCAATGCCGGATTCATCACGACTGTCTTTTCGGCTTTAAGGCCTTGAGTCATAGATGCGTGCGCAGTGAAAACATGTTCTGCCGCTGAGCTTCTCGATCAGAAGGTTAGGATCCAGTCGTATTTTGTGTTTTGCAGATGCGTTGAGTGCCGCTAGCTCTGTGGTAATTGCTGGCAGTCGGCAAAACGCAAACATCCCCAGGTCCATGGAAACCCTAGACCCGAAAGTCCTAAGACAATCACTCCTGAAGATCCGTGTTCATTCGCAACACATCGGCGCGCCGCTGCTGGGTGATGAAATGCGACCACCAGCTTGGGTTTAGGGCTTTTCAGGACTTGTGCTTCGATTGCAGGGTTAGAGTTAAAGGTCTGTGAATCAGTACTGGCACGGGAATGTGGGCATCTACTTCGTGGACCTTCAAATCCCCAACTCAAGTGCAGAGCCAGGAAGCCTAAACATCCCCAACATTCATCCTCTTGTGCTCATTCTTTGGTGTGGAAGGTACGGAGGCAGCCGGGTGACAGCGCATCCCGCCGTCGCCAGCTAAGTTGGGGACGGGGTGTGAGAGATAGAGCGAGCCAGGGGGTGATGCGAAGCAGGAAAGCACAAAGAATCCTGTTCGCAAAAAGTAACAAGCCAAATATACTCGTAATTGCAACAACACGATCAAGAGCGTCTGCAGCTGCTGCTGCTACTGCTACCATCACCGTCACCAGCACCACCACCGCTATAGTAACGGCAGTTTGTCACAACTACACATAAATGTCAAACCAAATACCCCAAATCCTGAAGGCAATGACGACCCAGCTAGAACCGTCAGCTCCAACCCCTTCTTCCATTTCCCTTGAACCCAGAACCCTCAGACCTGAAATCGTGACCTCGGGTCTGAAGCCTGGCTCTGACGAGGCACCGAAGCGCGTCGCCAGATCCCGAGCATCTTGATTTCCGTGGCTTTTTATGGCTGATCTTCAAGAGCTCTGAGACTTGAGACTATAGGACCAGGCTGATAAGGCGGCACATGTTGCACCGCTCCGCAAGATGCTGAGCAGTGTGGAAAACACTCCCGGGGCTGCCTTCGACGACCCGACTAAGCCGCGGACTTCCTTTGATGAAGAAGCTGTCGAAACCTCTGTTCTGACCACGTGCGACACTGAACCCTGCAAGTACTTGCCATAGTTCCGTGTCATGAGGGCCAAGGGACATCCCCGAAAAGCCAACTAGCCTGAACTCCCGATATGAACAGCTTGGTATGGCCTGTGATGTCCACCACGATCTTTCGTTCCCAACGTCTGATGTAACTACAGAAGAAGTCCCTTCTGAAGTGTCTGCACACACACGAACGACCCAAAGCCTCGAAGCCTTCGATTGGTGCAAGGCGCTCCATGCGTGGCGTTTCCAAGCACCGCATCCGAGCCAATCGCAAATACTCCGTTTGGAGGCTGCCTGGGAGCCTAAACAGTGCCGTCATGATCCTGTGCCGCTTCTCCCCCCTCTCAAAAAATAACAAGAAACAAAGCTGAAGGCCGAACCCCAAAATCCAAGTAAGACTCGAAGACTTAGCAACCTGTGCACCACTTGTCATTCGGTGAGCACCAGAAGGCTTTCCCGCTTGTTTTACAATTTTCCTGGAGGCCCCGTTGCCGCCAGACCTGCAGGGCTGCCTGAATCAACTGACGTTGCATTGGACTGGAAGCTCGTTGCACTGAAAAGTGCGTGCTTGCTGCGGTGTGGTGATGTTTGGGGTCGACAGGTGTCCATCAGCTTCACCGCAGTGAAGTCAGGGAGTGCATGGCACAGGTATGAGGCAGAAGACGGCTTCAGGAGGAACGATGAGGAACGCGGTTGGCAAATCCTCCCAGCACAAAGGATGGACAGTTAGAATCTGGAATACTTCGGATTTGTGCCCAGCATGCATCGTTACAAGCACTGTGGCACATCCATGTATGCTGCTCAAGCCCCTAGGGGCGCTGGCAGGTGGTGAAGTGCCAGCTAGATGGCCCAAGAGCCATGGCCGCGCAGCATTTGCTTTCGCTCAGTGGCCATTTGCGCCGTGAGTTCACGGCCACCTTGCTGATGGGGTGTGGGTTTCCGTCTTTTTGGAGTCGTTTGCAGGTCTATGTCCCCATCCGAATGCAGCTTGAGTGAGACAGGCTATCGGGCGAAACCCGACATCCTTTCATTTCTCCTCAACTAGTCCAAAACACGCATGAAGCGCTTGGTACCGCAATATCACTATTGCACAGGTCGGATGTCATGAAGCGAACAGCATCTGTGATATAAGCCTTCAGGAGGTGAGCTTCGAGCCTTCACTTGTGACTGCCACTACTGAACCTCCTTCCGCCGCGGCGACTGCCACTGGTGCCCTCAGCATAACGACTCGGACGACAACGCCTCCTACTGCTGCTGCGCTGCTCACCACGACAACTCGTGACAATCGTAGGTATGATTGCAGCAGCCATTATTGCTTGGAATTGAAGCCAGCTCAACACCTCTCAAGGTTACCATGCACACTTGGCTTCAAAGTGACCCAAACACGAATGTCAAACACAGTGAGCATATTCTCCATCGTCAGAAAAAGATGCGATGATTATGATGTTGGCAGTTCTGTTCACCAGGGTAGTTCATGATAGGTGACCGCATGACGGTACTGCCCATGACACCAAATAAACATCACAGTTTCCACTTTTGGGCCAGCTATAAAGACGCAGCCTAGGCTGCAAACTCTCTTCTCAGAACAGCGCGATTCTGGAGCGGGATCGCCAAGGTGGTCCTTGCTTTAGGCGCCTAGGCTCATATACATGTGTGTGTGTATGTGTATATATATATATGCACACATACAAACAGAGACAGACAGACAGACAGACATATGTAGAGATAGAGACAGAGGCTCAGGAAGGATCCAATGAGACCTTGCCCTGGGCTTGGGAGGGGGAGAAGGGCCTGAGGGCTTTAGTTCCCAGGGATTTTAAGAGAGAGTCTGGGAGCTCATGTTGAAGCTAGTGCTCCGAGAGTGAGGTTCGGACTTCTAGGGGTTTGGTGTTGATTGGTTTTCCAAGGCTTATCTGGGCTTGGCACCTGCAGCGCGCAAGTTTTCAGGGTAGACAGCCTCGATGCCTTACCCCAAAGCCTTGTGTCCTTCTTGGCGATCTTCTGCCTAAAGCAGCATTAGGCGAGAGGTGTTGAAACAGCCCACGCCAACTCCTCACGCTGCCAGGTCCCTAAACTAAGTCATGTTCCGCTGATCCCGCGCCGGCACTGCAATTTCGCTTGTTCTTTGCATAGATCTACCAGTGCAGTTGTTGTATACGATTTATACAGGGCCTTGGACCACGAGCCTCTTGTGTCGGTTCCCTCTACTAGTTGGGCGAGTCTTGCCCCATCTATGCTGACCCCGACGAAGCTACCGTTCCCCAACACTGGAAATTAGGCCTGTCGAAATGGCTGCGCTCATTGCTGTCTGGGCCTCGGGACAGGGTAGGGTGGGTCGGGATAGTGATTACATCGCTGCTGCAGTCCATGTACTCGTACAACTGTACGCTCCATCCATCCCGAGCCGTCGGGCTTACGTGCAGTGGGCCACTGGCAGCATAGGTCTCGAAGAGTTGAACACTCCCTGGCTCGTCGGGTCAAAAGAGAACTGCATGGAAAGCAAGCACGAGCTAAAGCTTCCAAGGCGCCACTTCTGGTGGCATCGTGGTATGTTCGCGATGCTGCAAGCATCCACTTTGGTCACCTGACATGGTTAGCCTGCTTTTTCCGATCAAACGAGAGAATCAAGCTTCAGGTTGGAATCTTTCCGGGCGCAAGCGGTCATACACGGTCATGGACAACTGTATGAGTTTGCACATTAGGTCTTTCGTGCCTTCGGCCCCCAGCATGCGATTCCTCCTCGGAGGGTCTGTTCACTTGCCTGTGCAACTGAATCACTGACTGACGTCTGTGCCCTGAAACAACCCATGCCAATAACGGAGCTTACAGAGTTTGACGACGATGCTGGAAAGGTAAATCTTCGCCGCATGTGGGGCAATCGCCAGAGATACCAAGTCATGCTGTACGAGCACGAAGAGCTTGAAGAGGACAGGGATCTTCCTGCCAAATGTGCTGTTCTCTAGATTAGGGTGCATAGCCTTTGTAAGTGTGTTGACATCAAAACGTGTGCGTCGATCATGACTTCCCCGTTGGCCCGAGAAGCTTGGAGGAGTATGCAGTGTGGTGGCCAGAGAGAACTTCAGAACCAGAGTCTCCGCGGAGGCTTTGGATTTTGGTTCCAGGCCGCCGCTGTGGGACGTACACATCCGGGCTCCGGGTCTCGATTGCGAGGGATCGGAGAGCGAAACCCTTTTCGAGTTTGGATGCCCCTGTGTCGCGACTCCAGCTTCGACAATTCCACAGAACGACTGCCAAGCCGCGCGCCGCAGGTGGAATGAGCGATGGGGACTCCGTGGCAGGATACTTCGATGAGCTTCTTCAAAGCATCTTGGCATTTGAGGGTCAGCTTTTCCGTTTCACGCAGAGGCCAATCAGTTGCTGAGAACACTCCATTCCCGATTTGTCGTCGGGCGCGTTCCTATAAAATCTTCAGGTACCCCACGAACCCAAAGACGTCCAAAGCTACCCTCTCTGTGCAAGCCTGCGAGCTTTTCCCAGAACAGCACCATCAGGTGCTATGGCCTCATCTGAAAACTGTTCACTTCCAACTCACCGCTGTTCGTAGGAGCTGCATTCTGTTTCAGGCGGTGTCATCGACAAAGCCAACGAAGACTGGTGCCTGTTTCACAATGCCGGCACAGGCAGGATGTCCATGTTGAGAATGGATGCAAAAGTTCGCAAGCCTGGCAGCATCGCTGCAGTCAGTGATGCTCCTACCTTCGCACACCGTGATCCTGATTACCACTATTGTCATTATCGCCGCCGCGATCGCGGTCGTGATGATTGTTGTCCTTGTCACTTTTGTCTCGACTGCCGCTGTGTGAAGCAGCCTACGTTTTGTTTGTATGTCACGGGGCGGCTCCAGGAGTAGTAATGTTTGCCTCAGAAGCAGGCAGTGAAGGTAATGCTTCCTTTGCAGGTGGAGCCGAATGGCGAAAGCAAACCTACGCGGGCCTGTCTGATCCGCGACCCAGCCTGAAATGGGAGTTTCCGAAAATAAGGGGTACCTTATTTTGGGGTCCTTATAATAAGGATCCTACTATTTAGGGTACTATATTAGGGTCCCCTATTTTCGGAAACCCCCAAATTGTGCGGGTAGCCAGTGACGAGGGAAAGCGACGTTGCTCGAAGCTGTCTCTGTGCCACACTCAGGGCATTCCTGTTAGACTACCTCAAGCGCCTGGGAGCCTACAGCCGCGATGAGCATACGAAGCACGAGTGTCCTTACAGCTGCTCGCACTTGTTTGGCCGGTTGGTGTTTTCCACTACTTGCGGGTTGGCAGGCATGCAGCCCCACATTCGAGCTCATGAATACTGGACTGCATCATCCTAGGAGAGATTGTCATTCTGGGCTTCTCCGTCGGTGGCATGCTGACCTTAGCCACGGCAGACAAGATCTTCAATGCAAAAGTCTATCATGCAAAACCAGAGGCTTCGCAGAGTCAATGTTTGTCTGCATGGTTGTTCCAGGTTGTATCTTCAGAAGAGCAGCGGCTGTAGGAGCGTAGTCATGACGAGGAGGCTCTTTGCGAGAGTGTGCAGCAGAGGCTGCACAAGTCAAGGAGGTTTCGAGAGTTCCGCATCTTTTGCAAAAGCTTTGGCTCTCGTATTCTTCGCAGCAACCAACCGGTTTTACATCCAGGCACAAAGCGCAGCTTCCTGGACTTTCACACGCTTCCCGTGCAGGGTGTTTCCAGTTATCTACCCCCTTAGCCTTAGAAGTAAACGAAGGGAGTGTCACAAGTTCCTGCATTGGTTTCGTGGAGGAAGCGCTGCAGAAGCCGACTCTTCTCGCGGGACGAGCGCAATCAGCAAGTTTGTCCAAGGAGAGGGGCAGGGGCGGGTTGATAAAGCCATGTGACGATCCTGCAGGCACATAGGGCTCTGGATTCAGGGAACTACACGCAGTCTTCAAGCGAATAAGGAAGATTGTTAATTAGTACTCAGCTTCTTGATCTGTGTGTCAGGACTCTGAGAACCGTTGACCCTGATCGACGACACCACAACCATGCTGGTTTAGTTAAAGAGACAGGTGCATGTCCTGTGCTAATCTTCTGACTTTTGGGAGAGCTTGAGAGCACGCGGTGCACTCAATGTATTGATCAGTTCCGCCCACAATCAGCAGAAGTGAATCAAGTATGCCAAAAGTATAGTTTGGATTCGAGTTCAGTTCCCCGGAAGAAGAGATGCCCAACGGGCAATGCTAGAAAGGCAAGTGCAGGCTTGCGCTGCGTCCTGGCAAACTCAATCAGGTAGAGCTCGGAAATAATGTTACCTTGCCTGCCTGACCGATGGCCTTAGAACCTAATCCTTCCACGAGGACGGGCACTGCTCCGTCAAAGACGGACAGCAGCAGAGCAGTGGCGAGCGGGTGTCGAGACGCTGCACAAGGGAAGTGCGTCCTTGTCGCCTCAGAGACCTGGCATCAAGGCTTGCCTTAGCATCACTTATCACCCGTGAGACTGCTACAGAGGGACGATATACCAGTATCTATCCGTTATCTGCTGGGTGTGCTGAGAGAATGTGTGACATCCACTAGCTACGCCGGTAATGCGTG